CCAACTTCCTCAGGTTTATCCCCATCTTCGGGTATACACTCAAAACGCATTTTCTCTAAACAATTTTTAAACATGTATTAACTATATGACAGACAAAAGTGGTTTTGCCTTTTTGCAGCTACATTCTCATCTGTTTCTAATAAATTACCCAAGTCATTTAATATTTGGTCAATCATTTTTAAAAAGCTTTCAGTATTACCACTAACAGGTTCCGAAATACTTTTAAAAAGTTCCCCAGTATCAGTACCAACTTGAAGCCCCCCGAATTCCCTTTCCAATCGCTTTGTCCCGTCTGTATGTAATGTGTTAAAATTACTTTTTAACATTGCCTCATTAGAATTTGAGCCAATGCCTTAACTTCAACCATCATAATTTCACCGAATGTTTTCTTTCGTAGCCTATCTACTTTCAATCCTCCAAGTTTTTCTAATACTGTTTTAATTACATTTTCTACATTTTTAGCCCCTACATTCATTGATAATAGTGTAGCATATACCTTCCTAACATCATCTGTATATTTGCCTTTGTATATTTGCCTTCGTGAAATGTATTAACCATTTTTTATCTGAAAAGTTCTTCAAACTCATCTTTAAGAATAAAGTATTCGATCTCTAAATATGAAACTTTATCTTTTAGTAAAGATACCTCAGCCTATGTTTTCATTGCTGCATTTTTTTCTTCTTTTTTTTTTTTTTTTTGAGTGGAAATTTGAGTGACTTTAGTTTTTTTTTTAATTTCTGTATTTGGCACGGTAATATTTCAAAAAAGATGCTGTTTATGAATTTGTTTACTTATTTTTGACTTCTGTTTTATCAATTTTTTTTCTGTAATGTGTTTGTTATTTTTTGCCTGAAGTAACTGTATTTTCTTTTTCTTCGCTTCAGCTTTTTATGTATATTTCTTGTTGAAAACTTTGACAGTTTTATGCAGCATTAAGCATATTTTTTATTTAATTTTACATTTCTCTTCTTAAATTCATTTGATTTTAAATTGGCATTCATTCCAGAATGCCTTGCAATTTTCAATTTATTTTCATGGATTTTTACATTCTTTTTTACTCACATTTCTCTACATATATAGTGTTTAAACAAGGACGCCTTTGTTGAAGGTCATCTTCATTTTTCATTGTAGCATTTGATTAAGTTTAAGGGGGTACATATTTACTATCCAAGTACATATCTTGATCTTTTTTACTGTTTATTGATAGAGCTGGCTGCTTTTTATAAAAGCATTTCATTTGTCTCCCAAAAAAAACGACATCAGGACAATAATCAAGTCCCAACAATAATTTTATTCAAACAGAAAAATCTTCAAAAGTGAAATTGTGTCTAGTTTTAGCAAATCTACAATTAAACCAATTGGCAAATTTGAAATACCTTCCAACTTAGAGGGGTTATTCGACCATTCTAACGAAACCCCATATTTCATACAATAAGGTCCTATTTCGCTAAAATTTTCATTGCTTAAAACCACATCTTTACGTAAATGTAATATGAATGCGTTTTATAATAAAAGTCATTCTGTTACTTATTAATTTTTAAGAAAAGATGACAATTAAGTGATTGAAATATCAAAGTTTTTAAAGGCTATTGTTAAGCTCTCTTTCACTGAATTTTCTTCTTCTTCAACAACAACTTTAATGACTTCATCCCAGAAATAAAATTCTTTCCAAATGGGCTCTTTAATATCTCTAACGACCAACCATCTGAAATAAAAATCGTACCCTAAAATAAAAATGTTATTAAAAAATTTGTTGGTAAATCTGTTGCTCTCTCATGATCATAGACCCCATATAGTGTGGTCTCTAAATCTAAACCCCACATCTGTGCCCATTTGTTAAACATTCTACTGTTTAAAATACCTCACCTATTAATTCATCAGGTAATATGTGTTTCACATATACATCAAAATCATAATCTAACTAGTCTTTGTCCAGCGATGGTAAAAATAACGTGACATCATAATCATTGGTTGGTGATAGTTAGAGATAAGTATAGTTTCTTTTTCTGCGATGGTATGGCATTATCATTTTATGCCCCACCTAGAGGCATTATGTTTTTCGGACTGTGCGTCCGTTCGTTCGTCCGTTCGTCAGTCCGTCTGTCCCGCTTCAGGTAAAAGTTTTTGGTCAAGGTAGTTTTTGATGAAGTTGAAGTCCAACTTGAAACTTAGTACACACGTTCCCTATGATATGATCTTTCAAATTTAATGCCAAATTAGAGTTTTGACCCCAATTTCAAGGTCCACTGAACATAGAAAATGATAGTGGGAATGGGGCATCCGTGTACTATGGATACATTTTTGTTTGGCTCTATTCTATAGCACTGAATTCTCTTATATAGTTTCATCATCCAGCAATGCAACATCTATAAAAGGCTACATCATCCAAATTTGTTGATATTCTAGATGTGCGAACAATTCTAATTATCCATAAAGCTGAAAAACACAAAGAAGGGACCACAAAGAAAAGGTTCGTGTAGGCACTTCTATTATTCGACGCTGAAAATAAATATGTTCCTGGTTAAATTTTATTGACAGATATGGGTTGTTTCAAGGATTAAAATATAAAGTAACAAAAAAACCGAACTCCAAGGAATATTCAAATCGGAAAGTCCCTTATCAAATGGCAAAATCTCAAACACATGAAACGAATGGAAAACAACTGTCATACTCTTGACTTGGTACAGGCATTTCCTTGTGTAAAAAAAGGTGGATTGAACCTGGTTTTAAAGCTAGCAATACCTCTCACTTGTATGACAGTCGCATTATATTGACAACAATGTGTGAACAAAACAAACAGACATAATAGGTATAAAAAAAGTTAAAAATCGGGGTACAGCAGTCAACATTGTGTTATAATCTCAATCATTTTGAAAACACACAAATATGTCACAAAAGAAAAACAAAATGGCATATAGGCCAAGCACATAAGCAAAAATGAAAGAAAGGAATATAAAAATTGACCATAGCACAATAACATAATGACGGGATGTACAAGTACCGAACCACTCCAAAGAAATATTACCAAAAAAAGGACTAAACAGTAAAGGTAATAATATACACAGACAAATAAAAGAATACTATAACACGTAATTAAGATGAAAAACAACGTCAGACCAAAATCTATACTTCAAGACCATCATGTATTATTTTTGAGTTTGATACAGAATATTTATCAACATGGTCTTAAAATCTTCCGATGAACTTTTTTAGAAAAAGGGGGAGACGTTATTTGACACAACCCTGCTTCATCCACTTTCTGCTCAGACACTGTTGACGTTTTATAAAGACTGAGTAGCAGCTGCAAGCTCTTGAATACTGAATGAGTTGGGAAATGTATATTCCATATGCAGGTGAAGTTGGTATATTGCTACTAAGGTGGGGATATTGATAATTTCAAAATTAAAATCATCTCGTTTGTCATAGATTCTGGTACTGAGATGACCGCTTATGTCAAATTCGAGGTAAAAGTCTAAAAATGAGGCGGAGGAAGCCGTGGGTGTAGTTTCTTTAATTTCTAGTTCTGGTGGATATATTAATGGAACCCAATCAGAAAAGTTTGGATTGTTTATGAAACGAACATCCTCAATATATCTGAATGTGAAATTAAATGATCTGACTTCTTTGATCTTCTTGTTTTTGACAAGTGTCTGAAGGAACTCTGACGCATATGAAAATAAGAAGAGGTCGGCAAGGAGAGGCGCACAGTTCATTCTCATAGGAATGCCGAAAATTTATAAACATTGAAGAAAAAAAAATATCTCGGTCAAAAAAGTAAAATTCTTACTTAATCTGGTAAATTTTCCACTCGAACTTTTGTTATTGAAATTGCAAGGTCATAAAAACCGGAAGGGGAAATTTGACTGATACCAAAAGGAAAAGAAAAACCTGTTCTTTCATTGGATAACAAAATTAGATCGATATTACGTCAAGACATATTTCTATTTCAGTTCGAAGAGGGCTACCCCAGCTTTAAATACGCAGATGACGTTCCTCTGAAAAAAACACCGCGAATTCGCCTGAAAATGAAAAGTCATTAGCTACAAGTGATCAAAATAGTTATTTTAATAGAAAACACAATCTTTCATCCTTCATTTTAATCATTTAATGACACTTAGGATATACAGCAACAACAACAAAAATAAATTTCGAATTCTTAAAATATTAGCAAAATAGTCAAATGGAAAACAAAATGGCGGACAAAATAAACTATTCTGGCCTCTCTACCAAAAGGCTGTAAATCACCGATTGGGGTTGATCAAAAAAACATTCTTTTTAGACTGAGAATGTTTTTTGTTATTTTTCTTCTTTTAATTAAATTTACAAAGGGAGTATAATTGGCCATTAAACTTTTTTTTTACTTCAAGATCGTTTCGGTCCAGGTTTCTTGAGCTTTTAGGTCCAATAATGCATACCCTTTCGTGTTCATACACAATTACTATGAGGATATGGTAAGCAGAGTCACCAGGGTTTTTGGTGGGATTCGTGTTGCTCAGTCTTGAGTATTCTATGTTGTGTTTTGTAAACTGTTGGTTTGTCCTTGGTCTTTTTCTTTTTCTTGTCATGGCGTTGTCAGTTTATTTACTACGTATAAGTTTGAATACCGTTAAGTATCGTTCGCCCTTCTTTTGCTAGGCATTTATGCTTTACAAAAGATCCATTTAAAAACCGAAGTGTGTTTTATATATTTTATGACAAACTTGAAATTCAAGGTGAAATCTTTGCAGAATTTAAAAATTGTTTTTAACTCTGTGCATTGCACAAACTCCTGTCCTCCTATGACCACAGTCTGTGACATAGTCAACAAGGTGACTTTCTTTTCAATTTTTTTAATGTAATACCTCACCTTACATACGCACACTAATATAAATATATAAATAATTATACATTAGATTGAAAGAACAAAGAAGCTTCTTCACACTGTTGATATTATAGCTGATTCTGCACTTAAAACTCTAGACGACAATGAACCTAAGACAATGGAGTTCTCAACAAAAACTATGAATTTAGTAGTTGGAGTTTCCAAATTAAATAACTCAACAAACACTTCAACAGATATAAGCACTTCAAGGAAAGTTGGTAACAAAACCGTCACTAGTTCCTTCAAACTACCACCAGAAATAAAAGAACAACTTAAAGAAGCTAGTAAGAATGGATTTAAATTTCAGGTATGTTTTAAGGTAAATCGGATGTCTTTTTCCAGGCATGTTGCAAAAATACATTTTGGTTAAAAATGTTTACAAAGTATCAATCATTTTACAACACAAACATCTTAAAAAATCAAAAATCAAAAAATTAAATGCCGTTTAAGTGTACTTGAAATTTTCAGAAAAACTCCTAAGGGCAGATAATTATACTGAATTTGGTATGACAGTTTGTGTTGTTTTTTTTTTTTTTTCAAGAGCAGAAGGCCCGTGACCCCCTATTTTCATTTGATATGACGGAATTATTTATGAAAAGCAATTCTCTCATTGAAATGAAATGCTCAACACAATCGTCTTCATCTAAGTACTTCATGTTGATGACAGTCTATTATGGCTGTTCCAGAAAATACTGTGTCCCTCCTCCAGGAAGGCACTTCTATTTTTTTATGTGGGTGTTTTTATTTGAAAATTAATGAACGGTGGAGGTGGTATCCTAGTGCAGCAAAGGATGTAGGTGGTTGGTTCACACGTGTAAAGACAATAATATGTATATATTGATGTGTTTTGGGGTTCTTTTTTTTATTTATATTGGAAGTGGTTATTAAATAAATTCAATGGTATAGGTGGCGGGGGTGTTCTAATTTTTCAAAATGTCTGTGGGGTGCGGATGAAAAAAAAATGTGCCTTCCTGGGGTACAAAGTATTTTCTGGAACAGCCATTAGAAATGTAAAACTTTTATACGGTAAAAACTATTTAAACAAAACGTGAAATTATGTTAGACTGCTGCTTCATTAGAATTACCAAAATTCCATTTCTCTTTAGTAAACTGAACATAAATAAAAGTAGATGTGGAGTATACGTTATTGATGCATAGTGACAGTTGTTTGTCTGTTATTCGTTTCTTCTTGTCATTCAACTTATGGTTTTTGATTGGCCCCTTGTTATCCCTCCTTCATTGAAAAAAGTTCCATCATAAAAAAAAACATTTTATATTAAAAAAGCTTTCTGAAATTTGGCTTTTTATAAAGCATGACACCTTTTTTCTATTACAGATGCTTTTCTCAGACAAGAATCCAAGATCTTGGGACAAGTCGTCTGTATACATTAATTCTCCAATGATATCTTTAATTCTTAAGGATTTAAACCAAAAAACACTTGGTGTAACTAAATTACCGAAGCCTATCATCATTGACATACCAATTGGAAGTAAGAATCTAGAAACATAAGAAAAAATTGTTCAATCACATGTAAAGCATGATAATGATGGGTTGGGAACTGAACCATGACTCTAATATTCCTATGCTTGATTATGCAGTATGTAGCTTTTTGAGTTGAATTCTGATACTGGTGTCATGCAAAACATATATTTGTTATGAATTGGCATGTAAACACAGGTAGAAACCTAGTAGATAAACGTTTGCGAATACTAATACGCCAAAAACTTATGAACGAGAATCGTGGGTAAGTAATTTTTCTATCTTGAAACACTTTGTGATTGCTCAGAAAACTGCCCACTCGAGGTAGTCACTGTACAAATGGCACATATACATCTTATTTACTGAATTCAAGATCAAACCATGCAAGTAGTATCATATTGATTTACAAGAGAAGTAAATTCAAAACAAAACACAAAATTTAGTATTTCTTGATTAAAAAGGATAAGCATAGAAAACTGTGATGTGTTTTCTTTTGTAGTTTACTTGTAAATAGATATAAGAAGATGTGGTATAAGTGCCAATGAGACAACTCTCCATCCAAGTCAAAATTTCTAAAAGCATGTAAGGTTTTACATTAGCTATTTCAAGTTCATTTTTATTGAAGTCTAATTCTAAAATACTCCCTACTGAACAAGGTCTATCTCTGAAAACATCGTATTTAAAAGATAAATGACATATGTTAAAGTAACTGAAACTTATTGGTTTTGTTCAGGTTTTATTATTCTTATGTTACCGCGAACGGAAGACGAGTGAAAAACTGTTATCTACGTTCCTCATTTAAGGTAAATCAACTGTATACCATAAAAAATAACTATTTTAACATCGTAAAAACTTAAAGGGATATAAACTCGATGCATAACATGTTATTTGCTGTTGTGTTCTAAAATAATTTACTCATTTACCTAGTTAGACAGGCTGTTAGTTTTCTCAATAAAATTGTTTCATATTTTTCATGTCGGGGCCTTATAGTTGACTATACAGTATGGTTTTCCTCATTGGTGAAGACCATACTGTTGCCTATAACTGCTTACACCGACTTTTTTTGAACTTTGGTAGTTGTCTCATTGGTTATCATACCACATCTCCTTATTTTTATATAATAATTGTAATCAACTTGAAAACAATTATTCAACTTGATGTTGCCAGTACCTTGAGCTGTTTAGTTCCATGTATATTTGTATAAATCACGTTTTGATCGATTCGATTTTGTCGCATTCTGTGTTATGGTATAGAACTACTTATTTGTGCCCGGTCCGAAAGAACATACAAGAAAGTAGTACATATTTTAAACAAAAATAGCTGCATCTTTGTCAATAGTTGAAATTTTGGGTAGTTTTTGGTATAAAATGAAAGCTTGGAGACTTGGGATTACTGTAGAATCCTTGTTGAAAGTTTCTTTTGAATGATAACAAAGTATATAAAATCATGATAGGAAATTTATTTTTCACCTCCGGCAGTCAGTTTTGAACACGCGATCTGCATGCTGTGGGTTGGTTCATTATACCCCTGCACCACTGGCATCCTTAGAAAATTATTGAAATTTTAGTAGTAAAGTCTGAAGACGTGAGAGAGAAAAAAATAAGAAGATCATCATCCAGCTTGTTTTCCTTTAGAAATTATGCGTTGAGATGATATGTTTGTGTTGCCGTATTCATGATTTTAAGCAAATATAAGAAGAAATCCATACATAAGTCTGTAATTTTTTCATTGACATATACATGTTCGTTCATCTAAACAAAAGTGTTTTCAACTTTATCATAAGCAAGCACTTACGAAACAATGTTTCGTTACATCTATTTCAACTTGGCTCAAAGAATACAGGATATTTTAGATGTTTTTGTCTCTTTTTTAATAAATTCTGTAAGAAATGACTATGAATTTCTGCGCATTTCAAGTTTGTGATTACGCATGTACACTAAGAATCACATATGTTACTAGTGTGCAAAGTTAGAAATATTATTATGATATTATTCTTCCAAAACACACTACACAGTTATTGAAAAAAGTCATATCCCCCCCAACCCCAAAAGGACTTTACGCCGAAAAAATGTCTAAAAACTTGCTTCACCGGTAAAGGTGTGGAAGGGAAAGGATTAAACAAAATTGAATGCCAAGAATGGATTAATACTTTAATATGTCATCAATTGGTATTTATCATTGCTAATCGTGTATCAGTTTCATCTGAAGGCACACTTTAAACTGTTTTCTACATATGAACTCATTTATTAATAATTAATTGAAATATATATATTTTTTTTTCATGACTGTAAATTTTTCTCGTTGGCTAAAAGCATGGGAAATCCGCTCTGATAAAACAGTATATTCACCACAACAACAAAAAAAGAGGTTAATAGAAGGTTTGGAACAGCGTCCGTGTACCTAAATATAGATGTTCCAAGGCAATGTCAATGACATAGGTTTATGACGTCATGCAAATTCCCGTGTTTTTTTTCTTTTTCTTCTTGTTTTCGGTGTATGTTTTTCTGTTCTTCTTGTTTTCGGTGTATTTCTATTTTAGTAAATTTTATTGAGACTTTCTACTTATGAAAATTAGCAACTGCGAAAGCAGATGATATAATTAGTATACAAACAAGGAGCAGTTTTAAAAGTATCTTGAGCAAATAATAGAAAATTGGAGAAGGATAAAAAGTCATATAATAAAAAAATTGTTGACTTTTGACTTCAGTTTATACAATGATTTATGAACCAAAAAGATATGACATTCATCATCGGCCTTTGGCCTCGATGAATATCATATCTCTTAGGTTGATAAATCATTGTATTAACGTCATCAAAAGTGACAATGTGAAACGTCAAATAAGGGCAACAGAGCTTGGCGTATGATAACTTATCCTTTCAATACAGCATTATCAAGAGATATGTATGCCAGTAAAACAGCCAACAAGACACTTTCTCTTTGAGAATCTTTTTCAAGCAGCGTGTTCCTACAGATGTATTCCATGTGTTAGCGTGTCAGTATTACTGTAAATGATGCTTATGACTTTAGTTTTGTCTGCTTTACTGTGATATTATGGCTGGGAACCTTTTAGGAGAAAATGTAAAAAAAAAACAACAAAAAGCGTTATTTAAATGAAGAACAACAGCCTTAATATGAATAAAATTGTTTTTGTTCAGAATGTTCCATACAAATATAAATAAAAAATATTTCAATCAAAATATTCTTAGTTATTTTTTACAGGAAACGAAAAATACAAAAAAATTATTATGAATACCAAAGAAGATAACTTCATACGTCTTAAAGTGAAACAGCCAGCAAACATGTTTTACATGTTGAAGCTTACGACAGATGGTCCACAGTACAATATATCAGTAAACTTTGCAATGGATTTTCATAAAAAGGTTACTCTGTCAGATGCAGAAAATGGGACGCTCATGGATAATTCACAAACAACATTTCTATACGACCCTCAAAAGAAATCGCTCTACTGGAGTTTAGGAGTAATCATCAATGAAAGAAGCTATGGGAATGTTAGTCAGAATATATCTGTCAGAATTTCCTCAACTGCCATTAATTGTCGATATTGGAATAACACTGTCGGAAAATGGTCACTAAAGGGATGTAAGGTATTATTCAATAAAGAACGAGGGATGTAACATATTAATCTATAGAAAACGAGAAGTATAAATTCCCGTTTTTGCTCAAGGAAAAAAGATATTTCTTTAGGAATGGTCTTTTCAAGAAACTAAAATACTAAAATATTTTTTTAATGGTCTAATTATGAAAAAAGTATAACGAAAATACAGAACTCCAAGGTAAATTTAAAAAGGGGAAGTCCATAAAAACTGAAAATAAAATAAACGTTATCAACTAACGGGACGAGTGAAAAACAACTGTCAAAATCCTGACTTGGTACAGGCGTTTCCAAAGAAAATGGTGAGTTTAACCTGGTTTTATAGCTAGCAAAACCTCTCACGTGCATGAAAAAATTGGATGAGCAACCCAAACATACATAATAGGTTAATATGACATTAAGTTGGATCTAGTATAGCCAAATTTGTGAAAACATACATCACAGACTTACAACACAACTGACTTAAAAAACTAACTAACCAAAAAAATATATCTAACAAAGGCGCCAAGAAAATGGTGTTGTATTTGATAGTAAATTTAACAAAGACGACAGCAAAATTTGTGTAGTTGATAGCAAATTGACAATGACACCAATAAAAAAGTTTTTGTAGTTGATAGTACATATTTTGTAGTTTATATACCGTATATACTGTATATGTACTTTTTTCGCGTGTACTTATTTTCGCGAAATCGGTATTGCAGATGAATTATTGACATGATATCAAAATAATAACGGACTTTCTGCATTAATTGATTAAGAATTTCAACTTAACAAGGTATATAGGCTTAAGAGCTTGTCTCACAGAAAACCATGCAAAAGTTGAAAAATCTTAAAGGAGGGTGGTTAAAACTTTTCGGGCTTATACAGATTTTTAAGATCTTATGTATAATGGAAACCAGAAAATATATTTTAGACTTCTCTGTATTGTGTCTTTTATTAGTAACAAGCTAATTTGCATAATTGATAAAAATGAGCAAAAAGAATCCTTTATATATTGGTTTAGTTGAAGATATTTTAAAAGTCACCATGCTAGTTCATATAGGTTTCTAGCCATTTATATTGTGAAAATATATACAAAAGGTCATAAATTCATAATTATAAAGCGTTTTCCTTGTTTTGCAAACTTGTAGGGTGCTTCATATAAGTCCCAATCATGTGTATGTCATTTACTAGCTAAGTTAAAGTCACTGGTTTTCAAAAAGGTGAGCACATAAATGCATGAAACAACTTTCTTTGCAAACCTTGTTATTAGATTAAAAAAATATAAAAGAAATCCACCCACGGCAAATAAGTAAAAACATATCCAACTATCGCGGTCATCACGTGACTTTTACAATTCAGTTGTATATCATTAATGGCCGATTGATTATCAATGAAAATGAACGGGCTACATAGATTAAACGATCATAACTTTTTTATTACATTGTGTATTTTACCTTCCAACCCCGCGTTTAACAGTAATTTAATTTTAACAATTAAAAATGTTTTAAGTTTCAGTTCAGAACTATGATTTCTTGCTTCAAATTAAGATTGAAAATTGAGGTGACATAATCACATAGCCTCCGTTGACTTCTTCGTTAAAACTCGATAAAAATTGCAATAGGACCTTCTTATACAATAAATTTTCGAAACTTATTTATTGTTAATAATATCCTTCCAACCCCTAAATAGATCGACAACACATTCATTTAAATGAAATCGAAAACCAAATCAGTTTAGGTAACAAACTTTTTTCTTCAAAATTTGATTGAAAAGTTCACATTTTGGCATTCGTTCGCAATATTTTGAAAATGGCGGCCGCTGTCGGAAGTAAACAACGACTCGACATGTATTCATTCAGTTATTAATTAAAAAGAAATATTTGAAATATTTATTAAAGATTCTTATTGTTTTTAAGAAATTTTTTATTTCACCTTTACTTTAATATCTTTATTAGAAACAGTCTCTCGCACTCAAAATAAAGATTTATATGCACCAACCATGCACTGTTTACATTGACAGCGTAGGCCGACATATGAAAATATATTTTGTAAGATTTTTACGATGAAAATCAAATAACTGTTGGATGCATGCGTTTTCAGTCATTGCCTTACCTTTAAGCAGCATAGAATCAAACATTGTTTCTTTTTGATAAATTAGATACATGCTGTTTGTTTTGATAAAATTTCGAAGTTACGTAAAAAAAATGGCGACCATATAATTTTCAAACGTAGACGATGTTCGACACTAATTTTGCCCATGCAAATAATATAATTTAATTTCACTGTTTATATTGCAATGAAATGTCACGTTATTGTCACTCTAATAAGACCCAAGGACATAGCTAGATTAAAGAGATATTAAGTCATCAACGTGATCAAAGAAAACAAACATGGCACCAAATCACGATGTATGTTTTGACAAGATCTATGCAGATTAGTATTGTCCGATTCTTAATGAAATCATTTTATGATATTATTTTATATCAATAAAAGTAAACCTCGAATGGATGTTAACCGAGGTGAAATATCTATATATATTTTTCAATTTTCTTAATCATCTCACCGGTAACCAGTAACCAGTAAATTTTACATAATCTTAATTAAACCAGATTCATGCAGAGTTATCGAACATAATTATGACTGGAATAGTTGCATATGATACCTTTTTTTTTACCATGAACCCACACTTCAAACCTTTCCCAACATGTTTTACAAAACAAATTGTGAGTAAAGACATGATGCAAACCCATTTGAAATGTTCAATTTTGAAAGTTCCAAAGATTTAATTCAGATATAAATTTTTGCAAATGTATAAATTCAGAATAGATAAGATTTTGCAACTTTCACCAAAAAATCAAGAGTTATTTCCCCTTAAAACATTCTCCACAAGAATGAAAAGAAGGTAACTGCTTAGATGCATATTTTCCTGACACTTACAAATGAGTTTGCTTTTGTAAGTATGGCCTTACTCAAGCTCTATGAGTGGCATAAAGATATATCACACTTTGTATTCATGTCAATTTTGCAATGAAAAAAACAATTCCAGAGAAATTCAAGGTTTTCTCGCATTTTATCAGCTCCGTACTTATGCACATCTTTGACGAAAATGGCCTGAGACAATTGTACTGTAAACCTCACACAGAGAAATTAATTTGGTGTGAAGTGAAGAAAAAATTAAGTTTGCTGTTGCTATCCTGACCACAACAAACGCCAAGTCTCAAGCAAATCGTGAGACTTTTGGAGGACTGCAGTTCTTTGTAAAAGAGTCATTGCAAAAAACCGAAGAGACACATACAGCAGGTACAGTGTATTCACATTGGATAAGGTAAACATAAAAAATTAATCATTGTATAAATAATTACAGGGTCTGCTGATACAATATTTATAATTGCAATGGAAGTAAATTTGACCCCAGCGGTAATCCCTTTTGGGATTCTGTGTCCGAGGCCTCTGAGGCGCCCAAATTAGAAAATCGCGTCAGACACAGAATCCCATAAAGATAGACACACTAATGCATTCTTTCAGCTTAGAAATTACTACATCACATACAGTATAAGAAGTTCTTAACATTCCCTCTTATCTAAAAAAAAAAAAGCGATACACAATCGGCTCTTACATTGATGATTGATACATTAAATTATCATGATATATGTTAACACACAAAATCAGCATTACTTTCAATCATTGAATGTCGCAAGATTTTTTTGCGAAAAGAGCCTACGTATTTTACAATTAATTAAAAAAAGAAAATAAATAAAAGATGATTTAGGTGTATACAAGTCAGCAACCCAATGACAAAAGTTTCCCAAAATAAAGACATTGGTTATACATCCTTTGTATAAGAGAGGGGAGAATGATACCAGAGGGACATTCAAACTCAAAGATCGAAAATAAACTGACAACGCCATTGCTAAAAAGAAAAAGACATGTATATGTTTACTAGACTTCAACATGCAGATTACATTGACAGGTGTCTATACAGTACACGTATGTATGTCAAGCTCTAAATTGTTCCATTTTTTTGTATGGAAACTTGGAATAAATTTAACAGATACAATCAAAGTGGTTGACGTTAGTTCTTGTCCGTCATATTTGTTTTTTCGTAAACTATTTTGTTATGAAAATAGGCCGTAAGTTTTCTCAATTGAATTGTTTCACATTTTTCATGTCGAGGCCTTTATAGCCAACTATACGGTATTGATTTTTCTCGTTCTTGAAGGCCATATGTTGCCTATAATTGCTTACATCCACTTGAATTTTGGAGGATAGTTGTCTCATTGTCAATCTTACAACATCTTCTTATTGTTGTAAAGATCTGCTAGTAACCCCTGATTTTAAATTGTCAAAAAGTATACTTATGGTTTAAAAAGATTATCCTTAATTATTTAAAACTGATAATTGTTCGCCTTGACTGACATTTACTTAAGGTACATCATACTACATGCATGAAACCTTGGTGTTTGCTACATTTGTACTAATTACTATTTTTATCATGTTATATTGGATTTTCATAATTGATATTCGTTTTCAATGTTTTAAAATATGAGTAAAAGATTGTGTAAAAGTAAGATAAAATTTAAATTAAGCAACTCTCTACATTACAAAATTAACAATGCAGTGGAAAATAGAAATTGTTCTCAGGAAAACTTTTAAAGGAATACATGTATTTTCAGTATTTAGTTTCATTTAAATGAATGAGCCTCTCTCTGGCTTATTGAAAGTGGAATGTAGGATTCTAATCAGATTATTTTCTTTCTTCTAAAATATGCATATTTGCCTTTGAACAATAAGTTCTTAGAAATTAATCAAACAAATCAAAGTGAGCTTTTTCATCATTTGGCGTCCGTCGTGTTCCGTTAACTTTTACAAATATTTTCTCCTCTGAAACCACTGGGCCAAATTTGACCAAACTTAACCACAATCATCATTGGGGTTTCTAGTTGAAAAATGTGTCCGATTACCCCGTCTGCCAACTAAGATAGCCGACATGGCTAAAAATAGAAAAAATGGG